CAGTCATGATGATGATGACAAGTTGAGTTCGATTCCAGCCTTCCGGTGGGACATCCTCTGCCCAGCTCATCATGCTGTACACAGCCTGGAGAGCCTTCTTGGTGTTGGTCCCTGACTTCAGCTTGTGGTCTGTAGAGGGAGTCAACACCTTGCCTGATCTTCCATCCTGGAGCCTTGGGAGCCTATGACAACTGAGATCCCATATTCTTTAACATTTGTTTCGCCTATGTAGACAGTGCTGGCCTTGAACTCAAAAAGATCCACCTGCCTTTTGAATGTTGACATTAAAGGCGTGCACCACCAAGCCCAGCCAATCTTTACCTTTTGGGTTGTCACCCACTTGCCCTTGGCTCTCCCAGCCTTCCCAGCAATCTCATTGCTCAAGGACACTTTCCGTCAACTTCTTCACCATCTCTAGAAGAGCCCCGAGCCTCTGACCACCGCAACCCCTAGGTGCACCTCCCACCTTGCCCTTCCCTGACCTCTGACCTTCATAACTGATTTGGTTGAGCTTCTCTGTGACCCAGTCTGCATCACTGCTCTTTTCATCAGACACTCTCACCAAGACTTTGGGGACTGTGGCATAGGTCACTAGACCATACTTTGGCCTCACCCCGTAGCTGGCCACCTGTGGGTGAGCAAGAGGTCACTGTGTTAGAAGACAGGGAGGAGGCGGATCTGGGGACACAGGACCAGGCTTGTAAGAGGAGTGAGGTCCAGACTGGGGCCCTCTCTTCAAAGGGAGGCAAAGCTCTGTTCTACCTTCTCAATCAAGTTCGCGAGACAGCGCTTGGCCCCCGTGAAGTTGCTGGCCCCGATGCTGTCTGATCCATCCAGCACCAGGTAGATATTCATGGAGCCCGAGGGGTCCAGGATGATCTTCCTCTTCTGTTGTTCCCCTGGGCGCCATCAGAGACTCAGCTTCTGGTATGCATCGTCCCTGGCAGGTTCCCCACCCTTCCCCAGGCTTACACCCACCCTCCCTCCTTGTTCTCAAACCTGGACTATGCCCATCCTCGGCATCGACTCCTTCTATGGTCTCTGTCAGGGAGGATAGGAACGCCTCGGCCACCTCTTGAGGGGTGTCATACATGAAGGAATCTAGGGATGGCCAGAGAGTAGGTCAGATGTGGGGAGGGCCAAGGACACACTGACAGGGTGCTGGGATTTCAAGACAGGAGAGGCTTAGAGTTTAGCAAACCTACAGGGAGGTTTGGGAGGTGTGAGGAAGGAGCTAAGGCGGTGGTGAGAAAACTGTCCTCATATGAGCAGCAGGGAAGAGCTGACCCACAGACGGCTCAAGAGTCACCTTGGCAGGAAGGCTCTGTCCCGCTCCATGAACCGCCTTCCTGGCATGCTCGCTGCTGGGAGCCACGCAGGACAAGGCCCCTGCTGCAGTGATAAGTAACAGTGTCTTCAAGTCGGTACTGGCTGCCCACCTTCCTCGTGCCAATGGGAATACCCGGGTTGGGACAGTATCCCGCTGCAGAGACATGAGGACAACTGGAGTGCCCAAATCCCAGGGAGAAGCCGTCAGGGAGAGGGTAAAGTCGGGGTGACCTGTTTCTCACCTCCATCGTCACAGATAGCTGTTTGTCCGTCCCACCGGCCATTCACCTGGCAGGTGCGATTAGCAGAGCCCCGGAGAGTGTAGCCATCATAGCATTGAAAAGAAATCTGGTCACTCAGGTTGTAGTAGGGGGACCGGGGCCAGTATTCCCCATTTTCAAAGTCCTGTGGCCGTGGGCAGCGTATTGCTTTAGGAAAGACAGGTAAAAGTCACCGAGGTCAGTTTCTAGTTCCTTCGTGCTGCTGAGAAACAGTGCTGGCCTGGTCCCCTCAACCTGCTGTCCCTCCTTGTGTTTTGGGGATTGTTTTGTTTTGAGACAAGCGCTCATGTAGCCTAGGCTGGCTTCAAACTCACAGTGAAGCCGAAGATGACTTCGAGCTTCTGACCCTCCCGCCCTACCGACCTCCTGGGTGCCCAAATTGCAGGCATGCACCACCACACCTGTTTCATAAAATACTGCTTTGTGTGCGTGCTACCAACTGCCTGCCTTGAAGAAACACTTCCCCATTGCCCACCCTCAGAGCTGTGCCCACCGCTCAGCCTGCCAGTCACACGGTCGCCCCCACCTGCCCTGTCCCTGCCACCCACTCCTCACGCTCCCAAGCCTCCATCCAACCTCTGCACTCTGCCTTCTTGACAATCTTTTGGTCTCGAGTCTGCAGGGCGCTCCAGGAGCCTGTGGATCTGCAGGTTCGGGTCTGTACAGGGTACGGGTAGAAGCCAGAGGGACACAGGTACTCCAGAGCCAGACCACCTTGGAGAAGCTGGAAGGAGCCACCTTTGATATCTACTCCTTCCAGAGAGCAGGAGGTCTGGGGCCGGGCTGCAAGCACTGGAGTTGTGCTCACACCTGTGGAGAAAGGCTGGTGAAGCCTGGCCCCAGAAGGCCGAGGACAGATGCTGGGGATGAGGCGTCCTTTGCTTACCTCCAGAGGAGAGGGCTAAGACCAAGAGGACCAGGCAGAGTTGAGGACTCAGATTGTTACCCATCGTCAAGGAGAATGAAAGGGAGGCCAGTGGCCGAAAGCCCTCTCCAGTTCACTGTGGGTGTCTACTTGACTCGCTGTCCAAACTGAAACTGCGGCGCTGGGCCTGGCTACACCCTTTCCCACAGGCCCTGAGCCTTTTATGCAATCGGCTCTGGCACCTGCAGTTTGGCTGGCCTGCCCTATGCAGACACTGCTTTCCGGGAACATTCATGAAGGAGGGCCCCCGTTGAGCTGCCAACTGAGGAAACAGAAACTATCCCAACTCTTTACTGACCAAGGTCCAGAACCTCCCTTTCAGAGCCCCCCGAGCCCCCAGACCCTCCGAACAAGCCCAGACCACCCCCTTAGAGGCTGCCTTCCCGTGGACTGTGTGACACGGAGCAGAGTCCAGCCGCTGTTTGTGCAGCGGGGTCTCTGACCTTCCTGGAATCTCTCTGGCCTCCCCACCCCCAAGACATAAGACAGTCAGATGTGGAAATCATTGGCTTTTATTAATTTCATAACTGGGAAATTCCATGTGAGGGTGAAAAGCACAAGTCATGCACTCTAGGGAAAGGTTTGCACACAGGCAGGGCAAGAAGGACGGACGGACAGTGATCCCGGTACAACCCGGGGAGTTCCCCAGCTTGAGTGAGGACACTCGGAGGTAGTAGACAGGAGGGTCAGAACACTAAAGGAATCAGTGACCATGTCAAAGGGGCAAAAAGTTCAGGACCCCCTCCAGGTGCTGCCTCAGCCAGGGCTGCAGGCGGAAGAGATTGATGTGGAAATCTCGAGGCTCGACACCCGGAGGAGGAGACTTCCTGCGGGAGTTCTTGTTGGAGGAGCCGAGACAAGGGTCATAAAGACCCCAGCTCACCAGGGCCACCTGGGGGAAGAGACCACAGGGTTGCAGAGAGTGGCAGCCCCACTCCAAGACTGGACCTGTCTGTCCCTCTAAAAGCCCCCACCTGACCCAGCAAGAAGCCCTTCTTGTACCCTGCCTGGCAGCCAGCCCCCTCCAAGTCCCGCTTCCCACCTGGAAAAACCTGTATTTCCGCTCAACGAAAACCGCGCCCCCCGACTCTCCTGCAGGCAAAAGAGGGGACAAGAGATGGGTGGTCACCCACGGCAGCAGCAAGGTAGCTTCTCCCGGGCAGGCGTGCAGGGATGGCCTTTTTACCTTTGCAGGGATGGTCCTCCTCCTCCTCCAGCCCACTGCATAAGAACTGGTCTGTCACCACCTCACTGACGTCTGTCAAGCCGGGGAAGAGGTTTTTGTTCTGGGAGACGGCCTGGATACAGCTTGTCCGCTGCAATGTGGAGAGCAGGAGAGAAGAACGCACCAGGAGACATTAGGCAGACCAGCAAGGCCCTGGAGAAGGGGGACCCCAGGCAGGGCTGGGCATTCTGGGAGTTGCCTCCAGGGGGCCCTTTACTGAGATCTCACCTCTAGTCCTGTCCTGAGGTTAACATTCAGTTTGTTCCCGTTCAGAGCCACAAAATGTGCAGGGATTTTCTGCTGTTTCAGAAATTCTGTCTCTGCCATCGGGGAGAAGGCAGTGTCAGTACCAGCCTCCTTACCCAGAGCCAGCGCATCCAGCTTGAGGACTGCAGCCCTGGCCCTACCAGCACATCCAAACTCTGGCCCCAACTCACCCCCAACCTCAAGCCTTCAGGACTCACCATGCTCTCTGCAGCTGCCACCTTGGGATCTCCGAAGAGCCACGTTGGCCTCCACAGTGCAAGGAAGGCAGATTGGCCTGGGGGCGAAAGGTGAATTGAATGTCACACAGGCCCCGCCTCAGTATCCCCCCTGGTACTTTCCAGAGCCCTGCCCTCTGTAGGGTGCCCTCCCACCCCGGGCTCAGGCACCTGGCATGGGTGGACATTTTCACTTTCTGGGCCAGCTTCAGCAGGGCAATATCGTCAGCATAGAACTCTGAGATGCCCTGGCTCTGCTTTGCACGGACATCAAACCCTGGGGCGATTATCGCCTTCTCCACAAGGAACTCTTTGCCGTGATGAGAGCTGGGATCCCCTGGGAATGGCGGCAGATTAGGGTGGACCAGAAGAAACCAAAGGCTGAGGAGAGCCAGTGATGACTCTGGCCTCAGGGTGAGGGGCCTGCGACAGCTCCTGACTTACCCACGATGACTCTCCACAGGTGGCGGTCCTCCATCTGGGTGTCATGGAAGCAGTGAGCTGCTGTCAGCACCCACTGGTCAGAGATAAGGGACCCCCGGCAAGTCTCCTTGCTCTTGGGCTACAGGGAACAGATAACAATCAGTGTTTGATGTGTCTGGCAGTTTTCTGCTCTGTAATCCAGGCACCACCCGCCCCTCCTTCCTGATACCTTAAAGGTGACATGCCAAGGTGTTCTCTCCTGGTCAGACGCATTGACTGACATGTTCCCCACCCCACAGATGGTATCCGTGAGCTTGGAGACATCTGTGGGTGAAGACCAGGTCGGGAAGGAGGTAGGTGATGGTACAGGTCCAGGCTGGCAACTCTGAACCCCCAGCTGACTCCCCCGTCTGCTCTGTGCTGCAGAGGACAAAGCTTCGCTTACCCAGCATATGCTCAAAGACCTGTTGCACTGCCTGTGCGTTCTGCAAGATGAAGGCGTGCCTCTCGCCGTCCTTCTTGGACCCCAGCTCGTTCAGTTCTTTCCAGTCCACATCCAAGCTGCCCACTCCAATAGCATAGATGTCTGATGGGAAGGAGGGAAGACACCAGAGCCCGTAGTTGAGAGGCCACCCAAGACATGAAGCGGGTCCTTGAGTTCACCAAGCCAACAAAGACCTGAATTAGGTGGGCTCTGCCTCCTTCACCCCTGTCCGGCTTCCTCTCCTCTTGCCAACACCACCAGACCCCAACCCTGCACAGACGGCTTCCTAGGAGGTCCTCACACCCGAAGGCACACTTCCCTCCGGCTTCTGCTGCAGCTGCACCTATGGCTGGGACACTCTCCCCCAGGGATCCACACAGCTCTTTGTGATCAAGGTCTTCTAGACCTGCAACGCCCCAAACCCGCCCACGCATCCCTACTGGACTTCGTGGCATGGCACTGGGCACCTATGGCTCTCTGGATGAACGACTGCCTTGTTTGTTTTGTGCATTGCCTCAGTGGGTAGAACTGTCTTTCCCAGAAGAAAGTGTTCAAGTTCCATCGTGAATGTGACCTGCATTAGACACAGGGTTTTTTTGGGGGGGATGAGGGTGTGTGGGGTAGAGACAGGGTCTCTCTGTGTAACAGCCCTGACTGTCTTGGAACTCTCTCTGTAGACCAGGCTGGCCTTGAACTCATAAATCGGCCTACCTCTGCCTTCCAAGTGCCGGGATCAAGAGTGTGTGCCTCCACGGGGGAAACAGGGTCTTTTGCTTGGTATTAGCAGCACTCAGGAGGTGGAAGCAGGAAGATCAGGTGTTCAAAGCCAGACTCAACTACCTAATGAGTTAGAGGCCAGCACAGGCCTATCCCAAAAATAAAGCAAAAGAGGGCTGGAGAGCTGGCTCAGCTGCCAAAAGTGCTTGCTGCTCCTGCAAAGGACCTGAGCTCATTCTCGGCACCCACTGCCACAACTCCAGTACCAGGGGAGGTGATGCCCCTCTCCTAGCCTGTAAGGGCACTCACACTCAAATGGCATACTCTCTCTCTCTCTCACACACACACACACACACACACACAGAGAGAGAGAGAGAGAGAGAGAGAGAGAGAGAGAGAGAGAGAATGAGAGAGAGATAAAAACAAACATATTTATAATAAAAGAAATCAGGGCTGGGGATATAGCTCAGTGGTAGAGAGCTTGCTTGGTAGGCACAGCCCTGCAGTAAATATATAGGAAATCTGAACCCAAGCATAACTAGCTGAACACCGTGGGAACAAGACAGAGTTGGGGTGAAGACAGAGATGGAGGTTGGGGTCTAATGGCCACAAACCAAGGACACCTGTAGCCACCAGGCCTCCACATAGCAAAACCCCATCTCAAAAAGAAAACAAGAAAAAAAGTTTGTTGTTTTCTAGTCATAGGTCAGCACACTTTGGGGCCACTCTAAACCTGAGGAGTTATTTTTTCCTTCAGCAGCTTCGCCTGCCAATGCGTCACCTAGGTGTCCACTGTTGAAGGGACACGGAGGGGACAGTCCCTACTGGGAAGCCAGGGCAGTTCTTCCTGCAAAGCTTCCTGAAATATGAGACGGTAATGGCGTGGCGACCGGCAGTGCTGAGCAGCTCTCTGCCGCAGATCACATCTCCGTTGGCATCGTGTCTTACCCGCCCTTACCCGCCCACGAAAGCAGGTCCAGTACCGGTGGCATCACTCATCACAGACGAAGCAGCAGCCCTGGCCCCCCTTCTGGAGATGGCACCAGGGTGGGGACCATGGACCACCAGAGTTGGTACCCAACTCTTCCATGTGATACTCAGCCACTGTCACACAGAACTTCCGGGAAACCCGCATGATGTCCAGGAGACTCCTGATGTTGTCAACTGCTGGCTTGGGGGACCCACCCATGTTGGACTTTCCTAGAACAGAGAAGGAAAGAACGCTCCATGTGAGGTGACTTCAGTATTCCTCACAGCCCTAGAAACATGGGGAACACTCAGCCACTTTAAAACATGCTGTTTGGGCCGGGCGTTGGTGGCCCACGCCTTTAATCCCAGCACTCAGGAGGCAGAGTCAGGCGGATCTCTGTGAGTTCGAGGCCAGCTGGTCTCCAGAGCGAGTTCTAGCCAGGGCAACACAGAGAAACCCCATCTCAAAACCAAACAAACAAAAAGACCAAGTGAGTCCCCCAGTGGCAGAAAGACAACCAGAACACAAACTTCAGAACGTATGCCACCACCCCCCACTGCTGCCCACCTCCTCCTGCAGCAGAGAGGGGGCACCCACCGTCTGTCAGCAGGATAATGGCGTGGCGAATCTCATGCCAGGCAGCGGCCCCCATGTTGAAACGGGCTATCATGTTATTCATCATGAGGTAGACGCTGTGCAGAGCCTTGTGAATGTTAGTGCCAGAGGCATTTTCATGATCTGGAATATACCAGAAGAAAGAGCTCTTGAAAGCAAAAACAAACAACAAAAACTCTCTACCTGCTGCCTGGGAATGGAAGATCTTTCTGTTTGAGAGACCACTGGAAATGCAAATTGTCAGTGTCTGACAAACTCAGATAGTTTGAATGTCTTTTCAAACACTTTGGTTTTTCTATCTTAACAATGTTCATTGCAGAAACAGATCTCTGTGAATTTGAGGCCAGCCTCATCTACAGAGCAAGTGCCAGCGCTACACACTGGCACTTTTTTTTTTTTTTTTTTTTTTCGAGACAGGGTTTCTCTGTGTAGCTTTGGAGCCTATCCTGGCACTCCCTCTGGAGACCAGGCTGGCCTCGAACTCACAGAGATCTGCCTGTCTCTGCCTCCCAAGTGCTGGGATTAAAGGCGGACGCCACCAATGCCCTGCCGAGATCTTGTCTTAAAAATTAAATAAAAATGGAGACACTCGGGGGCTGGAGAAATGGCTCAGGGGTTAAGAGCACCAACTGCTCTTCCAGAGGTCCTGAGTTCAATTCCCAGCAACCACATGGTAGCTCACAACCATCTGTAATGAGATCTGGTGCCCTCTTCTGGTGTGCAGATATACATGGAAGCAGAATGTTGTACACATAATAAATAAATAAAATCTTTAAAAAAATGGAGATACTCCTCTAGTAATACTCAGTCTAAAACCACTACAGGCTCCCAAGATTTAAAGATGGAGTTTCCAAAGATTTTGCGGTGTTTCAGTTGTCTGGTGACACCCAGATAGGTTTCACACAGTGTGCAGGTGGACAGTGACAGGGAGGGTACAGTGTTGAGCCATGATGGGCATAGCATATGCCAGCAGATCTGGAAGGAGTTGAAGTCACGCATGTGTCGTGGAAAGCCATGAGGGGTGGAAGCTGAAATCCTACCATTGCCCCTGGACTCACATGCCCTAAGAATGATCTCTCTCTCTCTCTCTCTCCTCTCTCTCTCTCTCTCTCTCTCCTCTCTCTCTCCCTCCCTCTCTCTCTCCCTCCCTCCCTCTCTCCTTCCCTTCCTCCCTCCACCCCTCTCTCCCTGATAAAGTATCTCATGTAGTCCAGGCTGGTCTCAATTTCCATAGGTAGCCAAGGATGACCTAGGGTATGGGGATTATGTGTCGCTGGGGATGAAACCCAGGGCCTCGAGCTTGCTGGGCAAATGCTCACTGAGCTACATCTTCAGGCCCCTCCCCTCTGGTGTCTCTCTGCAGCTGCTCTGCACTCCAGCCTCACCCAGAGGGTGACAATCAAACCTTTATAGCACACTTTCTCCAGACTGCTGATCACCTCCATCCCATCCCGGGATTTCTCGCTCAGGACCGACAGGATGGTTTTGGGCTCGGAAGCAAAGGTGATGATAGCAACGCTGACCTTGATCTCAAAGCTGAAGATCTGTAGAGGGCAAGAGAGAAGTGGTATGGGGCAGGCGTTGCAAAACCAAACGAGAGCAGGCCAGAGAGATACAAAGAGCCTGTGCTGAGCTGACAGGCAGGGCCCTTATTAAGAAACTCAGCCTTGAAGAAGCCAAGGAAATGACCAATGCCAAGTGTGGGCTCCCACTGACGACTCCTCTTTTCACCCACACGTCAGCTCAGAGATGGTCCATGAGGGGCATGCCCATCTCACAGTCAAAGAAATCGAGCCTAGCCAGGCGGTGGTGATGCTTGTCTTTAGTCCCAGCACTCGGGAGGCAGAGGCAAGCGGATCTCTGTGAGTTCGAGGCCAGCCTGGTCTACAAAGCTACACAGAGAAACCCTGTCTCTAAAAACAAAACAAAAACAAAAAACATAAACCACATATGGAATAAAGATATGATCATACACACTGACCTCATGACTCTGGTGGCCTGGGGAGACTTCTAGAAGAAGGTGGGTGAGTGGGACTCTGAGCAAGGGAGGGAAACCAGCAGGGCTGGGAAGGTACCACTGCCCACAGGCTCTCAGTTTCTCACCCTGTCCACCATGAGGGTGGCGCTTTCCTTGAAGATCTCAAAGTCTTTCTGGGACACACTCTGAGATGCATCAAGCAGCAGATAAAGGTTCAGGCGACCCGAGCGCTGGATTTGGATTCTACGGCCCAGATTTTCTGGAGAAAACAAGAAGCAAAGCAATTCGATGCTCACCCCACCCCACCCTGGGCTCAGATGCCCACCTCTGCCCGGTGCTACAAGGGTCCTCCAGCTCCCAGCATCCAGGCAGTTTGTCTCTCTCCTGCTCCATCCAGGTCTCTCTCTTTTCCAATACTCACTCACCTGTCCTCTTCTGGGTCGGATTGGTGGCTCCAAGCAGGCTGGTGAAGGAGATGCCTAAGGCAGAGGCCACATCCTCAGGGAAGTCATAAGAGTACGGCTCTGTGGGAAGAGTCACGTGCGGGTCAGCCAGGACCAGGCCTGGGTGTGGAGTCCCAGGGGAACACGGAGGACACTCACGTCGGCAGATGGGTTCTGTCCCACTCCACATCCCATTGCTCTGACATTCCCTCTCCGCCGAGCCGGTCAGTACCAGATTTGAGGAGGAACACCGGTAACTGACCTTGTCCCCAAGGTCAAACTGTGAGCCTGTCCGTACTGTGCCCACTGAGGTGCCAGGATCGGGGCAGTGGCCGGCTGTAAGTGAACAAAGGCAGGTAAAAGGGCCTGGAAACCTCTGCCTGGCTCAACGACCTTGTGCTTCAGGCCACATTCTTCCTCCTTCAGACCCTCAAAGCCACCAAGGGTTCCTTTAGACACCAGACGCACCGGCTGGAGACCTTAAATAGCCCATAGCACTTGGAGTTCAAGGCCTCAGCCACCCCCTGGAGCACTCCAGGCCTGACCCAGGCATCATTTGCATTTCATAAACCACAAAGTAATTGGCCAAACACCATGAGAACGGTGGACCCTCAACCTAGAGATGACTCCAGGTACAGGGGAGAGAAAGCCAGAACTATGTTTAAACAGCTGGAATGTCCACTGTGGGAACCCTGAACAAAGCTGAAGTCCTCCAACTTATCACTCCAGAGGACGAAGTCTGTGAGGTCAGTTCTCAAAACCTCACTCTTTGTAGCCCCAAGCCAGACATCACTCAGATACACAACAGGACAATGAATAATAACTGTGTAAAGTGTTCATGTGATGGAATACTATGCAATTAAAAAGAGAGAAGCGCCGGGTGTTGGTGCGCACGCCTTTAATCCCAGCACTCGGGAGGCAGAGGCAGGTGGATCTCTGTGAGTTCCAGGCCAGTCTGGTCTCCAGAGTGAGTGCCAGGATAGGCTCCAAAGCTACACAGAGAAACCCTGTTGAGAGAGAGAGAGAGAGAGAGAGAGAGAGAGAGAGAGAGAGAGAGAGAGAGAAGCCTGAGCTCTTATGACAACAGTCATGATTCCCAAAAGCAAAGAACTGAGCAGAGGAAAATGAGACGGAGGCTGGAGAGATGGTTCAGAGGTTAAGAGCACTGGCTGCTCTTCCAGAGGACCTGAGTTCAATTCCCAGCACCCACACAGTGGCTCACAACCACAAGTAATGGCAGCTCTACGTAGAGCTGGCCTCAAACTCAGAGATCCCCCTGACTCTGCCTCGTGAGTGCTGGCACTAAAGGTATGCACAGCTGAATAAATACATATTTTTAAATTTTCCTACTGTGGAGTTTGGAGTATATCAGTGGTCGAGTGCTTGCCTGGCATTCCAGAAATCCCATCCGTAGACTCACACAAATTGCATACTTTAATACAGGGAGATACTGTGTTGAATTTAAAACAAATTGCATTCAAGTTTGAATAAATGGTTATTTGGGAAAGCCTCACGAGCATGAGTGAGGTGTCACTGGCTGGGTAGCTGGGTGAGGGTGTGTGTGGTCCTGCTACCTCGGGGATATGCCTTCTGTGCGATGGCCAGGCTGGATGTGGCAGTAAGCACTGGGTGGCTATGGCAGAAGATCAGGAGTTCACGGCAGTCTGCATTTGAAGCCAGCCTGTGTGGGAAGACCCACAGGTGGCTGAGCCAGGGCCAGGGCCTCAGGGACAGCACAGCACTGGCAGCAGCAGTCGGACTCTTCCCACAGCAACCCCTCTGCTCCCTTGGAAGATTGCTGAGTAGTTTCAGCCCCGTTGACCCACCTGGCACTCTTTGCTATTCCTCTTCCTTATTTTTTACCTTTTTATTTTTTTGGCTTTTCAAGACAGGGTTTCTCTGTGTAGCCCTGGCTGTCCTAGAACCCTCTCTGTAGACCAGGTTGGCCCAAAACTCACAGAGATTTTTTGAATATTATTATTTATGTGTATGTCTGTGTGACATCCTGACAAGAGCATTGGACCCCTGGAGCTGGAGTTGGTTGCTGGCAGGCATGAGCCGGATGCACTGAGAACTGAACCCTAACTGCTGAGCTGTCTCGACAGCCCCACTATTTCCATTTTGCAAATGTGAAAACTGAGGCAGGAAGGGTAAAGGCCCTGAGTCCAGCACTCGGCTCTCCATCTCTCTTGGGTCTTGTCTTCATGGGGCTAAGTACAAAGTGTTGTCAGGAGGCATTTAGAAAAGCAGACTAAACACTATAATCTGAACACTCTGGAACCTGAGATAGCACTGAGTTCAAGGCCACCCTGGGCTACAGAACGAGCCCCAGTTCAACCTGGGCTAGCGTGATACCCTGAGACCCAAACCAAAGGAAGGAAGGGAAGAAAGGGGGAGGGAGAGAGAAATTGGGGAGGGGGAAAGGGAGAAAGGAAAGGTTGAAGGTATGTAGAGCCATCGAGTCAGATGTGGAACCTAGCAGCAATTGCCTGGACCAGGCTCCCTGCAGGTCGGTGATGTGTGGCCCACAGACCTCAACCCACCCCAATCCAGGAGTATTACCATGCTACCAAGAAAGGCATCCTCCTGTCCCCACAAAAGCTTCTGCAGGGGCATCCCCTCCACCCCACCCCACTGAGAGCACTCACCCCACCCCACCCCACTGAGAGCACTCACCCACCCCACTGAGAGCACTCACTCACCCCCATTGTCACACACTGCGGTCTCTCCGTCCCACAGGCCATTGAGACGACAGTAGCGTACTGGGGAGCCCCTCAGTGTGAAGCCATGGTCACACTGGAAGCTCAGGTTGCCACCCACAGGGTGAGACCCCAGCCGAGGGTTGTATATGCCGTTCTCAAAGGAAGCAGGAGCTGGACACCGAACAGCTGGAGGGAGAGAGAGAAGTCCGGCTGGGGCAGAGGATGGCTCAGAGGTTAAGAGCACTGACTGCTCTTCCAGAGGTCCTGAGTTCAGTTCCCAGCAACCACATGGTGGCTCACAGCCATCGTTATAAGCTCTGGCGCCCTCTTCTGGTGTGCAGATATACATGGAAACAGAATGTTGTATACATAATAAATAAATAAATAAAATCTTTAAAAAACAAAAAACAAAATCAGAGCCGGGCGGTGTGGCGCATGCCTGTAATTCCAGAGCTCGGGAGGAAGAGGCAGGTGGATTCTCTGAGTTTGAGGTCAGCTACACAGAGGAAAACCAAGAAAAAAGAAAAAAGTCAGAAAGGTTGGGCGCGTGGTGGTGTAATCTCAGCACGTGGGAGGCAGTGGCTGGTTGATCAACTGATGCAAGTTTGGGTCCAGCCTGGGCTACAGAGTGAGTTGAGTCTGCCTCAAAAAAAAAATCCCAAAAGCCAAACACGGTGGCTTATGTGAGTCAAGCCAGCACTGGAAAGATGGGACCCACAAGCAGGAGTTTGAGCTCGCCCTCAGTGAGTTCAAAGCTCACCTTTGAAACCAAAGCACGAGGGGTTGGCAGGCTTTAAAAAAAGTAATTAATCCAAAAAAAAAAAAAAAAAAAAAAGGGTGGGAAAATTAACTCCACAGGAGAGTATAGTGAGACTCTAATTTCTATTTGCAGCACCAGAAAGTAGATTGAAACATAAGATTGCTGTTTCAGGCAGCTGGCTGAATGCTGTCAACTTAAAACAGCTCGGCCTGACTGACTGATAGCTGCCCACCTCAAGGGCTGTCTGTGGTCACCCCAGTCTCTCACCAAGGACACTTGTGTTCAGGGTGCTCCAAGGCATTTAGCACCCATTTAGAATGGCCAGTAATCCAACAGTTAATTTTACCTTAAAAAAATAAAATAAAAATGTCCTAAAGACAGTGGACTTTTTCTGGGTTTGTTTGGTTTTGTTTTTGTGGTTTTCTGGGGGAGGGTTGTTTGTTTTTTCGGAGACAGGGACTCATTTTACAACCCTGGCTGGCCTAGGACACACTGTGTAGACCAGGTTGGCCTCAAACTGCTTCCCTTCCTCTCTCTGCCTCCCCAAGACTGGGGTTAAAGATGTGAGTCACTAAGACCTGCTTTTTCCAGTATTTTGAAGGCCTACCCCCCCTCTGTCTCTCTCTCTCTCTGAGTCTCTCTGTGTCTCTCTGTCTCTGTGTGTGTGTGTCTGTCTGTCTGTCTGTCTGTCTCTCTGTCTCTGTCTCTGTCTCTCTCTCCCCCTCCCTCCCTCCTCTCTCTACAGTCCCCAGGAACCCCTGCTAACAGGTCTGACACTGGTGGGCTCTTACCAAAGCCCAGAGGGACTCACGTTTGCAGACGGCTCTAAGGAACCGAGAGGCCCGCAGTGTGGACAGCGGGCCGGTTCTTGGGGTCTGCCACTGCCCGTTGCTCAGGCATCGTCTCCAGGCGGGGACTGGGTAGCTTCCCGGGGGGCAGGAGTAGATGAGGAGGCTCCCCGGGGCCCAGCCGTGGCTGAGGGTGAAAGTGCCCCCGGAGATATTGACATTCTGAGGGCAGAAGTCAGTGGCCAGGCCTGTGAGGGAAGCAGCCCAGCGGGAGAGGGCTGAGAAGTGGCTGTGTCTTGACCCCGCTGCCCCCGCCACACCCACCCGGTCCCTGCCTCCTACCTGGGCACAGCAGCAGCAGGCAGAGAAGAGCCAGCAGAGGGGACATGGTGTCAGGACAGACAGCTGAGAGCCAGAGGGACGGAAGGTCATCTGACTTCCCGAAACCACCCGGGCTGAGCAGGCTGCCAGATGCTCAAAAGGCGGAGTGAAGGCCAAGCCCTGGTCCTACAGGAGACAGTGTGTGTGTGTGTGTGTGTGTGTGTGTGTGTGTGTGTGTGTGTGCTTAACAAGCTCCACACATGACCATGTGTGCTTTAGAGTGTGGTGGTGTGGTGCTCCACACCAGGAAGACCAGGGACTCAGTTCTGGAGGCTGAACTTTTGCCCTAGTGGAAAGATTGTGCACACTGCTCCTAAGTGTGTGAACACCCACCACACACACACACCACACAGACACCACACCACACACCACACCACACACATACCACACACACCACACCACACCACACACACACCACACACACACCACA